GGGTTAGGGGTTCAGGGTTTAGGGAGAACCGAAGGCCGAACCCTCGAACCCTGAACCGTTCACCCTGAACCCTGCAGTCTCACTCATGACATCCTAAGCTGCAGAGTCAACCCTAATCCCCAGGCCCTAAACCCTAAACCCTCAACCCAAAAGCCTAAATCCTAATCTACCCTCTACTCCCCAAGCCCTACATCCAAAGGCCCTCCGCGGCGCACCTCTCCAGAACCATCGGCGACGCGCACGAACCACACGTCCCGTTCCGGGTCAGCCTTGGCCGCGTAGTCCTCCGTGCACATTGATTGGGATCTACGGTTTCAGGGCTTGGGGTTTGGGTGTTGGGTTCTGAGGTTGGGATTTACGGTATTATGCTTGGAGTGATTTGGGTGTGGTTTTGGGCATGCCCTAGGCATCCCTTTCTCGCCTCGCCGGTTGCTGGCCGTTGAGCACCTCTTGGTGTGCTCCGCTAGCTTTTGAGGGGTCTGCATGTTTGGCCTGCAGGTGCCGTTTTTCCAGAGGCGCTGGGTGTTGCCTTGTCTTGGGCATCATCCGGCTTTTCGCCTCGCCTTTTCTTTGCACAGGACTTTGATAGACATTTATGCAACGAAGTGAAGTAAAGTATTATGCTTGAAGATGCTTAGGAGGTAGGGTGTTCCTGTAAGAGTTTATGGCATAGGGTTTTCGAGGTTAGGGCCTAAACCCTAAACCCCAAAACCCTAAACCCTAAATCCCTAAACCCTAAATCCCTAAACTCTAAGGGCTTTTCTGGTTGACGGCTTTCCATGCTCATGGAACTTCGGGCGCAGGAGTCGGATCTGGGCTAGAAATTCACTGCCGCAGCGGCTGTCAAGAACAAGCTGTTTGTAGCTTGGATGTGGCATGAGAAGAACTGGCGGGGTGCCTTACCTAGAAGTCCTTATAAATACCCTACTGCTTAAGAGTCCATCTTGAGATACCCTCAACCCTTGACCCAAAACCCTAAAACCTGAACTCTAAACATAAGGTTCTATAATAGGGTCCTTTAAGGTGTCCTAAAAGGTTCTTTAATGGGGTCCCCTTAAAGGGTCCTATTAAGGTCTCTACAATAGGGTCCTTTAATACAGACTTAGGGTGTCTGCTCTTGAACAGCCCAAGTCTGCGCCTTGGATCCTTTGGCAGTGGCCTCGTGCCTTGATTGGTCAGGCCCTAAAGGGTTTAGGGCTTCGGGTTTTAGGGTTTAGGGTTTACCGTCTCCACAACCCAATCCGAAAGGGTTTAGGGTTTAGGCTTTACGGGTTTTGGGGTTTAGGGTCAAGGGTAGTGATCTGAACTACATCTTCAGGCCGTCAATGCTACACAAACGAAGGACACAGTGGGCAAGAAATCAAAAAGACCCTCCAAAGCATGCGAACACAACACAGCCCTCTGAAAAATCACCATGGAACCAACGGCAAATCCCTGCAAACCCACCGAAAGTAGTACAAATCCTTAACCCTAAACCCTAAACAGGAGGCCGCCCCTTCCGGTCCTCGTGCAATCGATCTTCTTGCTCCTCACTTGCTGTCGCCTCCCACGCCGCCCTGGCTTCCGAATCTGGCCTCGGTTTAGGGTTTAGGGTTTTGGCTTAGGGTTTAGGGCTTTAGGCCAAAGCCTTTGCAACGGTTTAGGGCCTGGGGTCTATACGGTTCTGGGCTTTACGGTTCAGCTTTGGAGGCTTGGCAAGAATGTCACAGGGCGCGGTCTCTAAGGCTTCAGAACCTGCGAACCGCCGGCCTGGACCTGCGAGGTTGACGGCTGGGGTTTAGGGTTTAGGGTTTAGGGTTTAGCCCATGAGGGAGTTTCACTAAACCCTAAACCCTGAAATATCATTGAAGGCCACACCCTAAACCCTGAATTGGGGGTTTAGGATTTCCCGACACCTAGACCCTACACCGCAAACTTCGGGATTTTTGGGTTCCCCTAAACCCCGAAAGCTTTCAGGCATGCGGCCTCTGCCGGTCGAGGATGCTGCAGGCCATGGCCCTGCGCACCGGCTCCAAATGTTCAGGGGCCGAGTCGTTCGAAAAGAGGATTCTCGCGGTGTAGTGTTGGCTGTTTAGGGTTCAAGGCTTCAGGATTTAGGGTTTCGGATTTAGGGTTTAGGGTTTAGGGTTTAGGGCATGCGGCCTCTAGGTTCAGGGTTTAGGGTTTAAGGCTTTAGGAACATGTTCTTGGAACCCAAACGCGAATCCCACAACACAAGCATAAATTGCTAGTCTTCAAGACAAGACAGCAAGCCAAGCCCTCACCGCCGAAGATGCAAAGCGTAATGGTCATGACTCATGGCTGTGAGTGGTACGATTGAGGGCTATGACAAGTATCTTCGTCCGTGCCTCTGTAGAACGATCCAAGACATTTCAACTGTTCTCCTAACCTTGGCCCCTAAAGCTGCGCACAACCCCAAAACATCCTCAATCCTTAACCCTAAACTCCACCCTAAAAGCCTCAAACCTAAACCCCAAACTCCCCTATCCGAGGGTCCTGGAAACCAGCATCGGAATGCAAAAGGCCCCGTGATGGCCGGAGCCATTTCCATCGCCCCATTCAGAGCGCACGCGATTCGCTTCGGCATCCTCGGATTGGCCTCGAAAAGGGCTGGGATTTAGGGGTTGGAAGGTTTAGGGTATAGGGCCAAGGTTAGGGTTTAGGGGATCATTGGGTGGTAGGTTGAGGAGGGTTTAGGGTCTAGGGGTTAAGGGATAATGACTAAGGGCCGGGGTTTACGGTTTCGGGGGTTTTGACCACAATAGCAGTCACAACAACTTTCGCACGAATACCTGTAGCAGTAGTTTCGACATAGAGAGCAAGCAAAACTATTGATAGCGTCTCTCAAACAAAATACACTCCTTTCGGGCTTAAGGTCCTTCTAGGTGATGGCTCCGTCGATTTCACTCGAGCCCACTGAAGGGTATTACAAAACCGAAGAAAATGACTGAGGGCGCCACGGAAGAGACTGCCGTTGCCGTAGTTGTTCAAGAGAATCCGCAGGCGCAGTTGCCAGACCTTGGACAGAATCAAGGTTTAGGGTCTAGGGTTTACGGGTTTAGGGTTTAGTGTAGTGCTGAACGCCACCCAGCAGATACTGGGACCCACATGCATGGCCGAAGGTTGAAGCCACCACAGCTATTGTTGTCTTTAGGCTGATATACTCGAAGCAGCAGGACAGTTCATCCTATCCCTACCACCATCCTCGACAAACTGAACCACCACCACCAGCACAGCAAACTCAACCGGCACGTGTGTATGTGTGTGTGTGTGTCTTACTTTCGTGACTCTGCTGTACTGTTCAGCACTGGAAGTGAAAGCATAACCACCGATGGCAACGATGCTACTCGCCATGGTCACAGCTTCGAAACGCTGGAGGTCGCCATCATCATCAAATCATGGCCGTCGTACAGCTGGTGATATAAATCCTGCAATACCTTAAGGACCCCCTGAACTAGGGGAATTATGGTATATTCATTGTTATGGGTAATGCAGGATTTATATCAACCGTAATGATCATCCTCGTCATCAGCAGCTGCAGCAGCGGCACCACCACCACCACCAACAGCAGCACCTTCTTCATCATCATAAGCATCGCTCCCCTGGCTGCGGTCATCAACATCATCACCGTCCTCATCGCCATCACCATCAACAGTATCATGGCCAGGCTTAACAAAATTAGTCATCACCACCACCATCATCCTCATCATGAACCCTCCTCGCCAGCACCTTCGTCGTGGCATTCGTCGAAGTCTTCCCGTGTTATTCTTATTGTTAGTTGTACTATTCTTCCGTCGGTCCAATGCGATCCAACTTCTGTGCCCCTCCTTGACACCACTGCTACCAAGTCACGGAAGGCTCGTGCTGAGAAGCATACACTCCTTCGCCGAACTGCGCGCGCTTCTCCATCAGCGATGACAAGAGCTCGGCAGCCGATTTCGCCGAGTTGGCGATGCTCTCAAAAGCCAGGGCATTTGTGTAGTGGTACAGCACCTCAGCTCTAGTTGCAAGGCCTCCAACTAAACCCTAAACCCTAAACCCTAAACCCTAAACCCTAAACCCTAAACCCTAAACCCTAAACTTCTGGAGCCCTACAGCCTCCCTCAAACCCGAAGGGGAGATCAAAATCATCCGAAACGACCATCCATGTGCAAGAACAGGCATAAAAGCACACCTCCATACATCCATGAAAAAAGGAAGAAAAGATTCCACCCTAAGCCCTAAACCCTAAACCCCTAAACCCTAAACCCTAAACCCTAAACCCTAAACCCCTAAACCCCTAAACCCTAAATGCCACCGAAACCACCACGAATCCGTCGCACGCAGGATCCCGGAGGTCCATTGCGTGCTGCCAGACATGAACGGGCCCGTCGCTGGCATCGAACCTTGGCACGAGCTTTTAAGGGTCCAGGGGTTTAGGGTTTAGGGGTGTCGGATTAAGGGTTTAGGGGTTTAGGGGTTTAGGGATTTAAGGATTTAGGGATTTAGGGGTTTAGGGTTTAGGGGTTTAGGGGTTTAGGGTTTAGGGGTCTAGGGTTTATTGTTGAAGCGTTAAGGATTTAGGGTTTAGGGTTTGGGGTTTAGGGGTTTAGGGGCTTAGGGTTTACGGGTTTAGGAATTTAGGGTTTAGGGTTTAGGGTATAAGGGCTTGATGAGGGCTTTAGACGGATCGATAAATTCCATAAGTGCACCATAAGTCTGCTATAGTGGTTGTCCAAGGCTTGATACGGACTTCATGACTCTTCTCGGAGGGGCTGCGGGGGCCAAAATGAACATGCAAGGACCTGGTGGCAGTTATGACGAAGACACAGACATATAGCAATGCTGATGACGACGACCAGTGCGGATCCAGCTGATTTCATAAGGGTGGGTGTGATTTCCAAGCCACTCGGTGATGATGACGATGATGATGATGATGATAATTGTCATGATGATGGTGATGGCGAAAGAGATAATGATTGATCATCAGCACAGTGATGATGATGATGAGGAGGAGGAGGAGGAGGATGCCGGCAATGACCATGACGGATCCATGAGCTTGCTACTAGTTTGCTACAACCAGTGTCATGCGCCAGGACTCGTACTACAAACGCATATTGCTACATTGCTCACTTGGGGTGTCGAGTTTTTTTAAGTTTAGGGCTTGGGATTTAGTACTGAAGGCCTTGGGGACTCGCCCTTGCTGCTGCCCTTGCTGTTGCATCACCGTTTCTGCTTAGGGGTTTAGGGTTTAGG